ATGTGATATTTACGGATGGACCACCATTTGTTGACAGCCTTAGTGGAGAGGTGGTCACCACAGACAAATAGTTTTCACATAACCGTTGGCGAGATGACCATTACCTTGCAGGATGTTGCTATGATTTTGGGTGTCCATATAAATGGTCCTAGTTTGGTAGGGCATGCCGTTGTTGGAGTTAGGAGACGTTGGATTAGTTGGTCAGACTGATGTGATGACCTTCTTGGGAGCCATCCACTACTAAATGTTGTATACCGGGACCCATTCGATCATCGCATCACATCAAGGTTTCGTATGGGACAGGCACATGCACAAACTTGTATTCCCCTCAGATGGTTGTGATGAACATTTTGGCGTGACTCCTACTTGGACCTGAACGATATGGATTTTTGGAGGCATGTTCAGGCTTACATATTATTCATATTAGGCTGTCACCTCCTCTCGGATAGTTTAGGTTCAGAGATACATTTACAATACCTTACTATTATGAAGGATTTGACAATATTTAGTACATACTCTCTTGGAGGAGAAATTTTAGCCCATTTGTATAGAGAGTTGGGTGAAGCAACACGGCCTAGTAGGGCTAACATAGCTGGATGCATTCATTTATTACAAATCTGGGCTTGGGAGCATTTGCATGTAGGACGACCATTGCTTCGTATTCCCTTTCCAATGGAACTTCATGGTCTTAGTGTTGGGTTCATGTATGAGATAATTCTATTTAATCAATTTTTTTAACTACATGCAATAAAATCTTATTTATTTATAATATAAATATAATAGGTGGAATGAGGATCGGTTAAGAGAGTTGCCTGTTGGAAATATCATTAGCTATAGAGATGAGCTCGATGGTTTACTTGATAGTCAAGTATCTTCTTAAAGTTTTGAAATAAAAAATTAACTTGTTAATTCAAACTTATAGAACTTATTATTGAAAATGCAGGTAATTTGGCAGCCATAAATGCCTGATATTCAAGCTCAGGTCGCACAGATTTGTCTATCAGGGGAGGATATTTGGATTGCACGAGTGCCACTAATTAGTTGGAAGAGGGTTGAGTGGCACTTGCCAGATAGATAACTACGACAATTTGGATTATGCCCAACTACTAACATCCATCCAATGGATCCAAGCTTCAAAAGGGTTGATGGTCGTGGGAAACCAGACATGGACTGGATGTTGTACCACCAAGCACACATTGCCATATGGGAGAGTAGGCGTGGATACATAGTTACAGGAGACCTCCTTGACCAGCATAATAACTACTCGATTCATCACTACATATAGTGGTACAAGTCATGGGCAACACTATACATGTTGAAGACACTTGTTGAGCCTCCCACAATGGCATATCCTAGAGCTCCCTCTGAGCGCCTTCTGGTACGTTTAAATTGAATATGCTATAAATGTCTTAAATAATTTCTTTTTAAAAAATAATAACAAATTTCTTTTGTTAATTCAGAGAGATTTTTTTCTTGGTACTGAACAAGCTTTGCAACAACACTTCAATGGTACAAACGATACACAACAACAGAGGGACGTAAACACAGTGGCAGAGCTTTGTCGTGGTTTGTGTAGGCAGTTGTATATTCAAGATCAAGGATATTTTGAGTATAGAAGTGAGCATGATACACCATTTTTCATTACCTAGGAACCTCCTCAGCATTATAGTGGATATGCTGGACCCTCCTCTTATCCTGATCAAGGGCCCTCTGCGGACCTCTTCAGTAACCAGGTGCCAGCAGATTTGGATGCATACCTCACCACAGATTTTGTACCGTGCTCCCTTCATAGAGATGACATAGCTGAGGAAGAAGTTGCTGAGGAGGAACATCACATGCTATGTCAAAGGCCACGACGACCTCCACAACATTACACTCCAAGCACTGATGCATTGCCACAGAGGCCACGTAGGCGACGCTAGTTCATCCTTTTATGTATTTCGGTATGCTTATGTTATGGATTATTTAATTTCAGTATGCTTATGTTATGGATCATTTAAATTATTAGCATTTTATTTAAAAGTCTTTTTTAACCTGCCTAATACCTGAGGCAATTTATAAAATTTTCTAGTATTTATAATGAAACACTCATTAAATAATTATTGCAAATCACTTAAAAATATGATTCTTAATATTTCTTTAGAATAAAAAAAAAATTATTTGTGCTTCAAGAAGGGCTACAAAACAGGAAAACCTTCAATATGAAGAATGTTTGTTTTTTAGATTTTATTATCAATAAAATGAATCTCATTTATTGACTCGTATTAATTAACATTAAAATCCGTTAACTTGTAGAATTTTTTTTTATTAAACTTTTTTTTTTAATTATAGGCTAAGTCGCTCATTTAACGGGTGACTTATAAGTCATCTGAGCATTTCTTTGCCAACTCAGCATAACGGTTACAATCCTAATCAGCATAAGTCTCCGTTTAAACAAACAATTTTGCCTATATTTAAATTATTTTTAAACATGCTTAATTTATTAATATAATTTCTAATCATACTTATTCTTAAAATTTTCCCTAAATAATTTACCAAGAGTTCAATTATATTTTCCCTCTATTCAAATAAAGCACCCGCAGCGGATACTATTTGAATCAAAGCCTGTACGCAACCTCCTCTTGCCAACTCAGCTGTCAGCAAAATTACGCGGTTGGAAGCCCGAGAAAGGAAAAATTCTATTTACTAATAGCGTCTTTTAAGTAATAAGTCAAACAATAAGCCGTATTTCCATTAAATTTATGAATCAGAGATTCAGAACTGATTTGGACTTTACTGCAAATCATTAATGATATATTATTTAATTTTTTAATATGAAAATTTTAATTAAAAAAAAACTCTTTTAAAAAGTACAAAAAAATCCCAAACAAAACTCAAATATTAATCTTAATCTAAATAGCAAGATAAAATCTATCCTAACTAATTATTTTGCTTGAATTTAAATGATTTTAGTGGGAACGAACTGTTTTGACTTTATGCCTTTACTTTATAATTTCTAAAAAAAATGTTATTACGCACAAAAAACTTCTTTGTGCTACCTATAGAAAGTTTATAACAAAATGTCTTCGTTTGGTCCAACTTTGTTGTTGCTTTGAATTTATGTTTATTCTTGGATGGCGCTCAGAGGGGGTTTAAAAACTTGTGACATCTTGGCTACAAGAAATATCCATATTATGGATAAAATTTGCAATTTATGTCATAATAGTTTGGAGACTACTTCACATATGCTATTTGAATGTGACTATTCTTTTAATGTGCTAGTCAAGCTCATCCCATCATTTCAGACACATTATTTTAGGCCGACTATTTTTTTTAGCACTATTCTTTTAATGTGCTAGGTTTAAGCCTATTGCTTTGTGTGCAAATACTCTGGTTAAGAAAATCTCAAAGCTATTATTATCAAGTTAATGGGTTGGAAAAATGGCAATGAGGTGAAAGAGGCTTTGAAATTGGATTATTACTGACGTGGCCTCATTTTTTCTTGTTTTATGATGGAAGGGTTGGTTTATATTTGATTGAATTTGAGAGGCTGTTAATTGGACTGATTCATAAATAAATTTCTTTATGGAACTTTTGCTCTGGGTTGCTGGTATCAATCGTTTGATGCCTGACCCTTCTATGATGAAGTTTCTGAAGCTTTCTATGGCTTCATTTATTATCTTGACTGCGACTTAATGATCGCTGGTGTCATATTTTGATGCCTGACCCTTTTTGTGGGTGATCTGGAGATGCTTGATTAGTAGGAATTTGAGCTGAGGACAATGACGACCACCTGCTAAACTTCTTTTTGGATGGCCTATGGGGCAACCAAAGAATATTGGGAAGTCGTATTTTGAAATTCAGTTTATTCTGAGTCCCAGCCAGACATTATTTATGAATCACAGTCAAACAACTGCGCTCCAGCCAAAAGACAACTTTTCTGAATCATTGATAGATAGTTTTTTGAGTTCCAGCCAGACAAATATTATGTCTGATCATATTTTTATGTTTAGTTATTAGAGATTTATTGTAATAGTTTACTGTTTCCAGTTTATTTTATTTTATGGTAGCTTGTTACTAGGTTGAATTGTTATCGTTCTTTCCTTTTGTATTTGTAAGTTTCTTTGTTTCAATAAAATGGGGCCCTCAATTTAAAAAAAAAAAATTTAGATTGTAATTGTATTCATTAGGTCATAATTTTTTGTTATTTTAATTTTTTTTTTACTTAGAAGTTACTTCTTACATTAACTTGCAGAATTACAACGGTGCAATTCCTAAAGTGTGAATGCGTGGTCTGACACCTATAAGATTGATTGCTGCTAGGTCCGCCGAAGAATTACTTACTCCGCTAAGAGCCTCTTCTAGGAGGTGGTAGCTGATAAATGCCCCGTTTCCAAAAAAAAACTTGCAGCATTTCCATCAATTTTATAAAAAAGATGGAGTTGTCCTCAACAAATGTGATATGGCGCACATGCTAGACTAGAGTTGAAGCTAACAAGATTAAGATTTGTTTGAGATAATTTTCTTGCTATTTTATCTTTAAAGAAGAATCATAAATTTGTTTTTTCTCATTACTTTTTAAAAATTTCTATGATATGAAATTATTTTTTTATAAACAGATTAATAATTTTTTTTCCTATAACACATATTTTTTATTTTTTTATGTTTTTAAATTCTTTTATTTTTATTTTATTATTATTATTATATTATTATTATTATTTATAACAACTTCATAATTATTTTTATAAAAAATTAGGGCGGTCCCAAGCAGCCTTAAGACATAAAAGAAGGCAAAAAAATAAAATAAAATGTTAATCAATAAATAGTTTTAACTTTTAAATTAAAAAATAAAATCTATTCTTAAAAATTCCCCAAAAAAAAAAATCTTAAAATTTTCAAATATTTTCAATTTTACACGACCTTCATCCGACCATCACCATCGGTCTGATAGGACTTCAGATTCCGATTGCTTAAGGTCTATACCGTACCTAATTAAACAACTAGCTAATGGTTATCTTCATCTTGGAAACTAACACAGGGACTTAAATCTGGTAATCCATTAAAATTCCGATGGTAATGGCCAATGCGCGTTCCCGCGCCATATGAGCTCCTTCTCTGCATCGCTGCATCTAGAGAGAGAAACTTAGGTCGTGGGCTTTGCCAATGGAGAGATCCAAGGCGAAGCAGCTCTCGTTCATCACGGTGCCTTCGCAGATCATTCATCCGCTCACCTCTTCTTCTTTCCAAGGGCTTCTCCTTTTGCCGAAGAAGTCATCTCGGCAGCAGCCGTTGTGCTGGCTTCTCTCCGCCGCAAGAAACCCTAGAACCTCAATACTTGCCTTTCTCTTCATCTTCTCTTTGTTTGGATTGATTGCTATAGGTCTTCGCCTGGACCATTTGCTACACTTCTCTCCTCTCCCCTGTGCCACCTCCGGGCAAGATGGGAGCTCGAAACCCTCTTACTTGGAGAAAGCGGAGGCAGTGAAGATAACAATAGAGCAGCAGGGAGAGGAGTTTTGGAAGCAACCTGAGGGAATGGGCTACCAGCCATGCCTGCACTTTAGCAGGGAGTACCGGCGTGCGAGCGAGGATATTCGCCGTGACCATCGCCGGAAGTATCTTATGGTGGTGGTTTCCGGGGGTATGAACCAGCAGAGGAACCAGATTGTCGATGCCGTTGTCATCGCGCGCATTCTCGGAGCTTCCTTGGTTGTTCCTATTCTTCAGGTTAACGTTATCTGGGGAGATGAAAGGTAACCGAATGCCGATTAATGTCCCTTCTCCACAGAAGAAACACTTGTTTTTTTAATTTTGTTTCGAATTAATTGATTTCTGGATAGCGTTTCCTATTTTTGGTTGCTCGTTTATTCAAGAGGTTGACGGCTCCTTTGGTTCTCTGACTCTGGCAGTGAGTTCTCAGATATCTTTGATCTTGATCATTTAAAGAAAGCGCTGGCCGACGATGTTAGGGTTGTTTCCTCTTTACCTTCCACACATTTGATGACGAGGCCGGTGGAGGAGAAGAGGACTCCCCTCCATGTTTCTCCACAGTGGATTCGATCTAGGTATCTGCGGCGGGTAAGCCTTTTCTTCCTTTTATTCTTCATATAATGACACGGATCATTAGAGATGATTTCAAACGAAATTTATCGTGCAAAGTTATGGTCTTTTTTGTGGTATTTTAAGTTGTACAGCATTAATCATTGAATTACAAGGGTATTGCAGATTTTGTCCTGAATCTAATTAAGCCTCGATCATTAGCGTCCAAGCTCATAGAATCTATGTTGTTGGATCAAATGAAGTCTGTGAAAAGTACCAGGACTTCATTACAGTTGTAGATTGATCGATTCCAAAGGCTAAGTTTAAATATTCTTTTTAATGATTTTAGGTTCGCAAGGCACCCGATTGACCACTAGACAACGAAGAGTAAGTAGCCGAGAGAGAGAAATTGTGGAAGAATTTGTACTAATTTTAGAGAAACAATTTGTTTCTTAAAAATATAGAATTGTGCATGATCCGTAGCCTCTTACTTATAAGTGAGGGTTAACGTCTGTGATACAGAAAGGGCTGTTAAAAGAGTTTCAAGAAAGGCATATGAAAGTTCTATTGTAATAAGATGAATAAAGGACGAGTTTGATGGACAGTTTCCCAAATAATGGGAATTCCTGGCGGGTTCTTAGTTGAGAAGAACGAATACCCTCGACGAGTTCTTCTGAAGAGAACCTCTCGGTGGCAGTTGAGTGATTTGGGATGAGTAGCCTTTGTCAATTGACGAGTATTGAGGGCTAATAGAATATTCCTCCTGGGTGATTTCTAACTTGACATATTCCGAATTGCTACCATAAAAAAGTTGTCCCAAATGAAGCCTAAGTTTACCTATCTCGTATATTAAATATTTTTAGTATGTTTCTTAGGATTTCAATTGTATTGCATCTATTTAACGTGAAGTCTTTGTCCTAATTTTTACTGCCAATCTTTTGTTCATGCTCGTCTCGTTCTTTTCTCAGCTTAATAGAGAGGGTGTTTTGCTACTAAGAGGATTGGATTCCAGGCTTTCAAAGGATCTCCCTCCTGATCTCCAGAAGTTACGCTGCAAGGAAAGGCTGTTCTCGTTTGCCCTTACAGTTTTTAGTTAGTGTCCGTCTTGACATGTTAATTGATTTATTCGTTTAAGTTCATTGCAGGTTGCATTTCAAGCTTTGAGATTTGCCACCCCAATTGTTGAATTAGGAAACAGGTTAGCAGAGAGGATGAGAAGCAAGGGTCCATATCTTGCTCTCCATCTTCGAATGGAGAAGGATGTCTGGGTGCGAACCGGTTGTCTTCCTGGGCTGAGCTATGAATATGATGATATTATTCATGAAGAGCGGAAGCTAAGGCCGGAGCTTCTTACAGCAAGATCAAACATGACCAATGAGGAGCGCAAGCTTACTGGTCTTTGCCCCTTGAATGCTTTGGAAGTGACTAGGTAGTTTTTTAAGATTCATATGTGAGTAAAAATGAAAGATAATCTTACATAGAAAATGAAACAATAGAAGAGTTCCAAATATAATAATAGTGTTCTTAAATATTAGCATAAGTTATTGGGTTGATGAATGTTCATCGATTAGTGTATTAGCTTAATTGAAGCGCTGATGCGCATCTAATGTATAACCAGAGGTAAAACCAGCCTTAATTTTCAGGGGGGCAAATTTATAAGTAAGAATGTAAAGATTTTTTTTTTGTTTTTTTCATAAATATCTTTACAACCAAAATTTGTTCCGGGGGCGCTGACCCTTGACACCTATTTGTTCATATCCTTTTTCGTTGTATGCTTTGTAGCTATGTAGGGGGTCCAAGGGGGCGGCGCGGGGTTCGCCCTAATAATAACATCTCTATATAATGTGTTTAATTATGTTGGGGCAATTGCCTAATGACCATAGTATTTTAAAATTTTTAGGGGGGCAATTGCCTAAAAATAGTTGTAATAAAGGTTAAAAAATAGATGGAGGGGGACAAATTACCTACAGCCCTTGTGTATAACTACAGCAATAACTGCTTTTTTGTCTTGTTCTGATAGTGATTCTGCTGTACAGGCTTCTCAAAGCGCTTGATGCACCAAGAAATACAATGATATACTGGGCTGGAGGGGAACCACTTGGTGGGATGGCTGTCTTGGAGCCTCTGAAGAAAGAATTTCCTTTCCTATACAACAAAGAGAACCTTTCCTTGCCTGGTGAACTGGAGCCATTTATCCAAAAGGCCTCACTTCTTGCAGCCATTGATTACATAGTCTGCGAGAAAAGCAATGTTTTCATGCCTTCTCATGGAGGTAATATGGGCCACATGATTCAGGTAATTTTGCCTTTCTTCACTCCAAACCATATCCGTCTTGAGGATTATTAACCTTTGTTGTTGTTTATGAAGGGGCATAGAGCTTTTGCTGGGCACAAGAAGTTCATAACCCCAAACAAGCGCCATATGCTCCCTTTCTTCTTGAATAAATCACTTCCAGAAACAGAGTTCAATAGGATTGTCAAAGAATTACACCAGGGATCTCTTGGGCAACCTGAATTCAGGACAGACAAGATTGGGAAGGATGTGACTGCATATCCAGTTCCTGAGTGTATGTGCAATTCTACTTCAACAAGGATCAAAACTGTAAAATCATTCAAAGGTTGAGGATGATTCTTTTGCCTGAGAAATTTTTACATTAGGATTCGGATTGCGATTCTCTTTCAAGAACCTCTTCGAATATATAATGAAATTCAAATTGGGCGCATCATTGAAGGGGAAGATCTGCTGGTGAAAAGTACAGAGGAGAAATACTTGAACATGTGATCAATGGAGTTCTACCTAGAGGCAAGAAATACTTGTCTTCGTTGGAGTAATTTACAAATCCTGTGTTGAGGTTATTTAATTCTTTTTGAAATATTTATGTACAGATGTTTATTGTGAGGGATGGTTTTCTACTTGGAGTTTTTTTTTTTCTTTTTTCTATAGATTGTATTCATCAGTATGGATCTCCCGTAGCATTGTTTGTGCATACATTTGTTATTCCTCAGCATCATTTGGAAAGGAGAAGATAAGGTCATTTTATGTTTTTAATCTGTTGAGCATTCTAAACACTTCTATTTCACTTGCAAATATATAGTTTACTATCATTAAATTTATAATTTTTATAGGCTTCGTTTGTAATAGCTTTCTTACTGTTTTTTTAAATAGTTTTTCCATACAAAAATTTTTAATTAAAAAAAATTATATTAAAAAATTATTTTAGGAAACAGTAAGAAAGATGTCTCAGCTGAAGTCATAATCTTCATATCGATTGGGTTAAATTGCTTTGATGTTGATGTTTTTAAATGATTGCTTCCCGGTTTGGAAATTAAGTTTTATATCTTGTTAGAGAAAGAGGAACAAGTTGAGATTCCTTTTTTTTTTTTTCAAAACTCATCTTCATATATGTAAGAAGCGAGTTCTAATTACGAGGATATATGGGATAAATGTATTTTATTCATATATGTAATAAGCGAGTTCTAATTACGAGGATATATGGGATAAATGCATTTTATTTAAAAATTTTGAAAAGGGAAAAATTATAAGGATCCTAACTCACTTGAACACTTCTAATGTCTTGAAATTAGATAAGTATGATGTCCTTCCTTGTAACTAAAGATAACATCAACACAAAGAGATTAAGTTGTAGCTATTATTAGCATTTGTGGTTGTTGATATATCTAGAGGTCATTGTGGTTCTAGTTTAATCTGAGTATATGACAATCTAACTCTTAAGGGGTAAGACCATGGTGTAGGACTGGAGAGAAATGGATGTGGTTCAAGTTCTTGAGGCTATTGAAATAGGCATATCACATACAACTATCATTGTGGTAGAATGATCATGATTTAGAATAAGGAATTTGCACGATCAAGATCATTCTAAACCTTAAACCCTAAACAAGCATTGTTGATGTGGAACATAACATGTAAGGATGATTAGATTAAGGAATTTGCACGCTTAATATTTATAACACAATAATTATATAATTATAGTGATTTCGAACGACAACATAAAACACAAAGAGCGGGGACATAAGCTTAGGCTAAATCACATGTGTAGGAGTTAAGCCCGTAAAACAATCAATTAGTCTAACATTGCATACATAGAAAGTTTCAACAAGAAATCCCTAGAATAACAATGAGATTAATACTATGAAAGATCCCTCACACAACTCTATGATTTACTAGGCTTTAGCTGAGGACTAACACGATCTCAGTGAATCAATTAAATTTCACAATTGAAAGTAACGAGGAAAATAAAGAGTGAGGGAAAGAGTTCATCGAAGGTAGCCGGCAACATATGGATTAATTGACTTCCCATGATCATCCACGATCCGGTTGGGAGGTGTTCCTCAATTGATGGTGCCATCGTGAAGATGATGCGTTCAATGTAGCTTTCCACGGACTCGTCGACGTCCAAATTGAAATCGAAATATGGAGATTGGAGAATGTCGGTCTGGTCCAGAGAATACTCTACGAACCCATGATCAACATTCGGGTCGGCCATGTATGATTGTCTAAGAGAGAAAGTGAAATTAATTTCAGGTTTAAGTTAATTGGGGGGTTTTCCTAAATTAAAGGAGGAGAATTTAAGAAGAGTTTTGAAATTCAAGTATTTTGAATTTGAATTTAAGTCTCATCCTAAATTAAGAAAGCATATATGGTGGATTCGAATTCAAAAGTTTGGAAGGAATTATGTGGCCGGCGGCTATTGTGGGGGAAAAGAATGTGGTCTGTAGTTTTAGGTGGTGGAGCAAGGGACTGATGGGTAGAGGCTAAAACCCGGTCAAGGGCTTGGGCTAGGCAACTTAGATCCACGAAATTGAGCAATTTCCTAATATGGATTATGTCAATTTAGGAAAGAATTTTAAATCAGGTTTCGAGTTGGAGCTCCCTCTTAATCTTCATGCTCCACTTTTGGAAAGAGGCAAGACAATCATTTTTGGATCCATGGGAGGGGAAGGCCGGCGGTTAGGGTTTGGGGTTTGGGTGGTATTTGGCTGAGGAAGGGGCGTGGGTTAAGTGGAAGGTGTCTTATTGAGGTTGACCAGCAGCTTGGGAACTTGAAGTGGCCGACGGGGTTTAGGGAAGAAGAAGTGGTTGGATGTAGGGAAAAGGAAGAAACGATAAGAAAATACTACGAGTACTAACTGCGAGTCCCGAAATCCACCGGTGGCTGACGGGTGATGTGTGGCTCTCTCTTAGGGTTTCTCCTCTTAAGAATTCACAAAGAGAATAAGAACAAGAAAGCTTAAATTTTTATTCATATTCATCATTAACTCAAAATACAAGAGACCTAACTTATAAATAGGCCTCATGAAAAGAAAAGAAATAATGACTTAAATGCCCTTCGGGCTACAAGACCACATGACCACCCCTTGGGATAAAATGGGAAAAATAGAAATATAAAATAAACTAGTACATACAACACATCAAAATAAATAAATAAATAAATAAACTCCTTATCGTAGTCGCTTATCTTTGATGTCCTCATCAAGTGTAGTCATTAGATAATGGTTGGTGACGCTAGCATCATTAATGTGTGTTAATGTTGTTATTATAATTGTATGATTACAAAAGATGTGAATGGATGTTGTCTAATCTTTATGTTTTGATAGACAATGCTCCTATAGTCATCATAGCCAATATGTTCAAAGTCAGTATTGGGTTGGTAGGATTTTTTTTTTTTTTTGTGAGAGGGCACCATTTGATCTTTAGTATTGGTGAATTGTGCTAATGACATTATTGTAGGTTCCAAGTTTAACACTAATGTTATTGTTATAGGACAACCATACATAGAAGAGGAGTGTTGCCTAGGTTCTAGGTGTTTATTAGCATGATTAGTGATATTTACTTGCTAAAATATCTTATTATTCTAACATCTTATCAAGGAAAAATATTAAAGATTGAATAATATTTTTGATAATTTAATGAATATTATATATGCATGTAAATAAATAGACACATTGAAGCAAAAAGTAGCATACAGATTAGTTGTAGCATGTCTTAAGAATACATGCTTATTATAGACTACAATGACATGAGTTTTGTTGGTAGATTGCTTTTTATGCAAGCGAATGTTGGAACACCCACGTGGTGCGATCAATGCTTGATATTGTTGTTGTTGAGTGTTGGAACACATCCCGTGATGAGATGCTTATGAGTTAAGCAAAGAGCACAACACATTGATATTGGTTGTAATGTATATCTTAAAGATATAGATTCAATACATGCTTATTAGAGACCATAATGACACGAGTTTTGTTGGTAGATTTCTTTTCAAGCAAGCAAATATTGCAACACATATCTTGATGAGATGATTATGACTTGAGTGAACATTACAACATTGATCTTTGTAAGGGTAAGAGTCATGGTGTAATGGTATCACAAGTTTTGTGCATTGTCTTTTGATAGTGGGTAATGTTATTAAGGCCATAAAAAAGGCATGTCGCGTACAACTATCATTATGGTAGGATGACTGTGAATGGGTGATGAGTATAGTTCAATCATGAGGTGATTGATGGCGATGTTGTAATCATTAGTGTGTGCATGGGTCTCTAGTTAATAGATCTAAAACCACTACTAGGATGGTAGGATAATAGTATTTGTGAGAGGGCATCATATGATGTATAATTCTTGTGGGTAATGCTCATGCCATTTATCATAGCTTTTAGGTTTAACATGAATATTGTAGTGATAGGACAACCATACAAGAAGAGGAGAGTTATCCAGTCTCTACATGTTTAAGGGTATGATTAGTGAGATTTACTATCTAAAATATAAAATTATTTTTACATATTATCCAGAAAAAATATAAATTCTTGAATAAATTCTATGATGATTTAATGAATTTTATAGATTCATATGTTAAAATAAACACATATAAGCAAAAAAGTAGCAATGACTTAAGGATGAGAGAAAATAATGTTCTTAGAAATGATACACAAAACTTAAAATTAACCCATATCAACTAAGAGCTACATCATTCAGCATCAAGGCACTTGATAGTGCTTAGGTGCCAACCTTTCCAACATCGATATGCTTATTTTTAAAATATTTGACATAATAATCAGTGCTTCAAAGTTGACCTATAACTATGTAGTGCTAGAATAAATATTATAAGTACTGGAGGAGCACCTGTGCTATTATACATCGCTTAGGTGCTATTATGTTAAATGCAACTTTTTAGAGCTATGAGAAGGCAATTTTTGGGAGACGAGATGTTCGCCATTAGAGGGAGAATCAGAGAAGGTATAAACACAGAAAGGATGAAAAATTAAGAGCAATTTTAGGCACAAAATTGCTCATGAACTTCATCCTTTCATCTTTGTTCTCTTTATTTTGTCTTCTAACTATCTTAAGTTCTATGAATCATATATCTCCCAACCCAGCATGAGCTAATTTTGTTTTCTGATTTTATTGTCTAATTGAAACACCATTTTTATTGGATTTGTTTTATTTCATAAGTGTTAAATTCTAGATTATTTAATTTTCATTTGTCCATCATTTATTTGGGACATCTTTTGGCCACTACTTTTTCACTATTTTTAACAAAATTTTTAACTCAAAAACTACTATTAAAAGAAGTAAAAAAACTATTACAAACGAAGCCTTAGTTAATTAAGACTTCGGTTGGAATGATTTTTTTATTGCTTCTTAAAATAGAGTTTTAGTACACAAATTTCTCAACTTCAAATATACAATATTTATTAATATCGAATAGTGAACTAACAACTCCTGATTTGAGATAGGAATAAACTCAAATTATTTTGGCAAACTTTAAAAAAATTAAGGAATCATGCAATGCTTTGGATATAATTGACATAGGAACATAGTGAGTAATGAATGTCAAAGGATTCGAATTTCTAATTATTGAAAGTTATTAGAATTTTTTTTTCTTAAATGATATCACATCATTTAATATTGTTGCGTGCTAGAATATACGCGGCAGTATAGTTTGTAAATTTGCGTCCGAGCGTTGTACGAGTATTCAGCACACAAACAAAAAAGAGAAATGAACAGCAAGGTTTTTACGTGGAAAACCCAAAAGA